AGAGTTTGTAAAAAAAAAAAAAATCAGTGCAGCATGTATAAACTGATGCATGGTTGATACTTGATCCTTACCTCAAGATATATCACATGTGATGATGTTCAAGCCCATCATTAATAACCACACAGTTCCCCCTACTGCATGCTCCCGAGCAATCAACAGAAGAAACTGCCACAATTATGGTGCCAGATTCCAAGTTTACTCTTACGGTTGTCTGCGACCTGCGTTTTCTGCAACGGATGAATATGGCCATGTGGTTGGAGCAAGTTTTAACCATGGCATCGATTCCCGGGTCACATGTAATTTCTAGAAAAAGAAATTTCATCAGTTATCTTCATGAATTTCATAGTCAGAATATGAGATTTAAGAAAGATGCAACCACCTTCAATACTTTCCATGGTATGCGACTATGTATTACTGTGAGATGACTATAGAAACTCCATCCACCTAAATCTTTTATACGGTTTAAATTCACCACACAATTTTAGCTACTTGATTATGACTAGTCCATCATATGTTCTTTATCCCAGACTGGATTTAACAAGCAAAAAGGGATGTACCTGATCTTTGTCCCGAGATATTTGGAAATAGAAAGATTGCTGGGCATGGATGTCTAGCATATCTTCAGTGCAGTTAATAAGGCTCCTATAAACTGAACCACCCCAGGAACTCTCAGATTCATATTCACTACGAAAATTCAATATAGGATTCCCATTGTGCATTAATGTAATTGCAAGTAAATGGGCATCACTATCTTCTTAAACCACTTAATTGTAAGATTTCCATTGTACATTAAGAGCAAAGCAAAGCTGATTTCCAAAACCAGGAGTATTATTCTCTTCAACCAAAGCATTGCTCATGAAGGCAAGGTGATTTTCCGGAGATGGGAGAATGTCACTTGTCTCACTGCCTTGACATGCAATTTCATAATGATTGCAGTCTGCAATGAGATTAAGGCACTTTGACGAATGAGATAAGGGCAAAGGAAAATGTTGCAGAGCTGCAATTATTTCTTCCTCTGTGTCTAAAATAGATCTCCCAAACTCATGTTTGTCATAACTGGCACTGGCGGGAGACACTAATGCATGAAAATCTCGGGGATAATTTCTTATTACAGGTGCTGAACACACAACCCAAGAGTACCAAATGATTCACACCAGTTATTTCGACTTTGCCAATGGTTCCATGAACTTGTACAGCAGGAACCAAGGTCCAATCTGTATTCGGACATGTAGATGATAAGCTACTTTCGTTTACGTCTATAGAATGCCACTCAAGCAGTGGTAATTGCGTCACTCTTCCTGGAGAAGATCCGACTGGATCATGTGAATCATCTAAGTTTTTTAAAGTACTAAATGGAATATTTAGACTTCGCTGATGATCCCATGAACATTGTAATGCAGGAAGGAACTACGGTCCATTTTGTATTATGGGACTTTTATTCATGTTTATATAATCCCATTCAAACGGTGGAAATCGTGGTTCTCTTCCTGGAAAAGATCCAGTTGGATCATGCAAATCATCAGGCTCTTTGAAAGAACTAATGGTAGAAAAGAACCATGTCTCACAAATGGAAAGCCAAAACTGGAGTCACCTTCAATGAAGGAGATGATATTTTTCTCTCTTAGTTCAAAGCTAGTTGACTCTAAATTATTTTGAAGGGTGCAGTCATTGTTATATGGTGGAGAGTAGATATTAGAGTGCATGGTCTTTGTTGATCTGTCTGACTAGTAAGATGATGTACCATATAAGGAATCCCATTCAAGCAGTGGCAAAAGATTCTCTCTCGCAGGTAAAGATCCATTTGGGTCAAGCAAGTCATCTGACTCTTTGGAAGAAATAAACGGTAGAAAAGATCCATGTTTCACAAATGGAAAGCCTAAAGTGGAATCACTGTCAGGGAAGGAGGTCAGATTTCTCTCTCTTAGTTTGCGGTTAGGTAACTCCAAGTTCTTTTGAAGAGAGCTGTGATTGTTATAGGTTGTTGACTCGATATTAGAGATGACCGTTTCTCTCGATATGTCTGGCCAATAAGATGATGTACCATTTTCCAAGTGTGACAGTGCATCTTGAACTTCTAAGATCTCCCTTGTCGGAAACCTATCAAGTTTAGGGGAAGAACATCGGACTTAGGGCAGGCAAATAACTCAGATTTGGTATTGCTTTCCAACGGTGCAGACTCAGCACTTCCGCAACCCTGCAAGAGCCATTATTTTCTTTTTTTAATATTGTAATAAAATTAACAGAAGAAATCATATCATGCAAAAAGTTGCAAGGGCATACATTCTTCTCATTGCTCCTAGGAAAAAGCCGATAAGCAGCGTTGAAATGACATCATACCTGAGAGAACATCTACTCAGTTCACGATATGAATTGTGAAAAAAATGAAATTAACTTTTAATAATGACAAGGCTAACCCCTTGGAATGGAGTTCCTCTATCTCAGGAACCGAGTTACAAGCCCATTGAAGCGGTTTCTGTCTCTTTCTAGAAAATAACTCTGTTTGATCAGAATAAGACCCTGAAAGTTGATTTTGTTCAATGAAATGGTTAATAATTCTCAGTTTTAGAAAAGGACTAATGTCGTTTCAAGCAGCAGATGATGCCTTCATTTGCAGTTTGAAAGTCCAAGGTCAAACCAATATGCAGCATATCCCTATATCCTCAAACAAAGAAATTAAACTTATATTCATGTAAATAAAAATTAAGAAATTAACATAAAATGAATTAATTTTAGAAGAAAGAGATAATTACATATGATATCCTCAAACTATAACTCGCATTCTAAACCAATCTTAAAATTTCGGAATATTTAATGTCTGTCCACATTATAAAATTATTTGTATCATCTCATATTTATCATTTATGATAACCGTCCAGCTCAGTTGGTAGAGCACAAGGTTCTTAATCTTGAGGTCGTGGGATCGAGTCCCACGGAGGGCATTTCATAATTCGGAGGTCTCCCACGGAAGCTGCTCCCAACCTGACATTGGGACAACCTACTATCCTACCTCCCCCTTACCCCATTACATATGGGAATAAGAGTCATCTAATTTTTATTTTTTATCTCATATTTATCCTTTTATTAACGTATCCGTTCACTCTACTATTTCAAAAAAAATTAATATATATTTTAGGCTTAATGTCCAAATAAGTGCCCAAACTATGCCTTTTTTGCCAAATAAGTGCCTATGATTTTTTTACCAATCCAGGTGCCTAACGTTACAAATGTTACCCTTTTAGGTGTCCAGGTCGTCAACACCGTTAGTTTTCCCCATTAAGTTCCATGTGTCGACATCTAGTAATTTTGAAATTTATTTTTTTATAAAAATATTAAAAAATATTATTATATTTATAAAAAAACTAACTTTTCTTATATTATAAAACAACTTCAAAATACTAAATCCTAACCTTAATCCGCCGCTGGCGCCTTCTCTGGCCACCACCGTCGTCGCCAACGTAGTCCTTGACATCATCCTAGTTATATGTTGTCGTAGTTGCCGTCGATTCACCGTCGAAATCGCGTGGGATCACGATTTTCATCCTAGGGTTCGTGAGATTTAAAATGTCAATTTGTAGTCGATTGATCATCAACCGATCACAATTTCATAGGGGTTATGGTCGCTGGGGGGAGGGGAGGTCGGGTGGAGCTTCTTTGACGGTAAAGGGCGGCGATCGACGTGGGTTTAAGGGTGGAAATGAAAGTTTTCAAAGTTTAAGGGTTATTTCAAAATTTATGTTTTTTTAAATATATATAGTTTTATTTTTTAAAATTTTATATAAATTTTTAAAATTAACAAGTGTTGACATGTGTCACTTAATGGGAAAAACCAACGGCGTTGATGACCTGAACGTTTGTAAAGTTAAGCACCTGGATGGGCAAAAAAAACTGTAGGCACTTATTTGACACAAAAGGGATAGTTTGGGCACTTATTGGAAATTAAGCCTATTTCTGAAGGTCATGAAATTGATTATGAATTTATAATATTCTAATAAAATCTCAGGAGCCTCAAAAATAAATTAATATTTTAAAAAAATCACTGACAATTCTCATGAACTGCATAAACATATTGATTTTCTTTAACCAATAGAATTAACGATATATTTTTTTGGACAAATCAAATTTATATATAAAAAGCAACAAAATATCAGAATATGTATAAAAAAATACGATACTCAATTCTAATCGACCTTCTAAAAAATAATGTGATTGCGTTCCTTCCAAATGCAGTCCACGCCAACTTTAGTATGAGAGTAGACAGTGAACGACCCTTGAAAAATCAACAGCCTCGGAGAACTAACTCAGCATCCCATTATCTAACCGGCCTCCTGCAATTACAAAGACCAAGAATATCTTCCCAAATCCCAGCAATTAACGACATATTAACAAAAAATTAAATTAAAATAAAATAATATCAATAATGTTAAGACTAATAAAAAATATTTTAAGATTTAAAGGCTAATCTTAAACAAAAAGGCAACCATAAATACCTTTTATTATATATTCATTTCCATTAATTTAATAATTTTAATATTCCAATTGAAGGTAAATTATGCATTTAGTACCTAAACTATTATTTTTAATCCGTTTAGTACATAAACTTTCAATTTTTTTCAAAACTATACCTAAAGTTTAATTTTTATTTCATGTTAGTATCATATAGTTTTTGTTTCATTTAAATTCGCAATTTAACCTTAAAATTTAAAAAAAAATAAAAGTTTAAATATTAAAATATACTAAAACTGATGGTTTATGATACTAAATGTGTAATTTACCCCCAATTAATTGTGTTGATGTCATTTTTTCCGGGATAGCAAAGGGTATTATAGTAAATAAAAGCCATTTATCCGTGGCGAAAGGATGAATCGTGATCACATTATACATGCAAAAGAGATATGGTGCACAGGTGGCAGCTTCCCAGTGGAGGAATTAATTCGAGTCCACATTCTGAGGATGAGATAATTCAGGTAGCCAAAGAAAAGCAAGAAAAAATCCAATTCATTTAACGCCTCTCAGTCTCTCTTTTTTTGGTTACCCCCCCCCGAGAACAGTTCTTCTGCCACACAGAAGACATGGCTAGCTGCTCCAGCATGGCATCGGCTGCTTCAGTGTTCTTGCGAACGCCCAGTGTTTCAAGCTTCGTAGCTTCCAAGACCAGCAACATGGTCTTTTACCCTTCAAAAAACAACAAAAACACAAGGCTTGTTGTTAGGGCGGCTGAGGAGGAGGCTTCACCGCCGTCTCCAGCCCCAGCGACCACCACTGCACCACCAGAAGGAGGCGAAGCCCCGAAGCCGAAGCCACCTCCCCTTGGACCAAAAAGAGGCACCAAGGTTAGCAGTTAGCTACCTCCAAACAGTCTGTATCTGATAGCTTAAACAAAAAAGTTGAATCATTTCGAGTTTCGGGTCAAACCATGTTTGCCATTTGTTTTATGTTTTAAATAAAAAAAGTTGGTTTTTGATGCCGTAGGTGAAGATCCTAAGGAAGGAGTCGTACTGGTACAACAGCTACGGATCAGTTGTTACAGTTGACCAGGTCACTCTTTTACCTCTATGCTCTTTCCTCCTATTGTATAATGATCGTCATGGTCATAATATTTTTAAATTACAGATGCGATTACGATGTTAACCTTAAACATTATTACGATATCATCATTATGTTACGGTTGTAATTTAATACTAAGTCTCGATGTGGGTACGTACCTTTGAAGAAACGATTGTTTTTTCGTGTGCAGGATCCGAAGACTCGGTACCCGGTTGTGGTTCGGTTCAACAAAGTGAATTACGCCAATGTATCCACCAACAACTACGCACTGGATGAGATTGCAGAAGTTAAATGAGTCACTGTTGCATTTTGTAATATCTTTAGTTTTCAGTGATTTATGTATGTTCAGACTTCCCCCCATCTCTGGCTTTAAACTTGTTTCTGCCAAAAACGTCTTGTACAATATTATCTTCTCTCTCTCTCTCTTCTTTTCTTCTTTTCCAACATTCGACAAGTTCGCCTGACATTTTCCGGTTTGTTCCACGGTACATATTATTGGAGATGTGCCGGATTTTCAGACATGAATCGTTTAAGGAAAGAGATTAATTTGGATAATATGACCTGCGGCCATCAAATAAAAACAATTAGCATGGTTAAGGAAAGATGTAAAACTGAATATAAACCCCAAAATGTTCTTATCGGGCTCATCTCGAGTGTATGCAAACCTTTGATGCTAAACAATGTTGCAACTTGCAATGGTATTCTTGCACGGATAGATGTTTAATGCGTAAAATTGATTGAAGCACCTATCTGATTCGTTTTATAATCATAATAGCCGTGCCCCCTCCAAATAACATAACTGTTTTTCCAATAATGATCAAGATTTCGAGCCAAAAACCTTCCACTTTCATGCATGAATCGCATGGCATAACATGAGGTGACCATAAGTACTCCACTCAACAAGCTACCGTATGCAATATAACTCGGTTCCTGGTGGACTGTTCATATGCAAACAAGAACCGTGTTTCTTTCTGCTTTTGGTACAGATTTACGAGTAGGAAACCGTTCCTTCTCTGATCTCATTCCTTGTCGAACATAAACTTCATTTTTCAACAAGAAACTAAACCTGAATCCTATTAACTGTCATTGTAAGAAAACTAATTGAAGTGAAAATGTGAACCCTATAAAGCATATGGAAGGTAAACTAATCTTCCTTTCAAAGAACTCTTCCATCCATTCCATCAAGAAGACCTGACCATAGTCCCTTTACCGGTGGCAACTGAGCGACAAAAGCATTCCAAGGAGGGTAACCAACTCCACGTCCACGCACACGACCATCCAAGCGCAGAGATAGATAGCTGCATAATGAAACACCACACGACTAAATTTCACTAGCACCGGGATTTCTATAGGCATGTCTCCTTATATTCGGGTATCATCAAATGAGAAGAAGATGGTAAGGTGGAGGAACTCCTACACAGGAGATTCAGGGGAAACACCAGCCAATCTCTTTTCTTCTTTCAACCACCTGTATTTAAAATTTAAACAAATATATATCAGATAAGACAGAACATGCACTACAGCAATATTGACCTATTGCGGCGTTTTTTTAGTCCTATAGCGGCGTTTTTAAGCGCCGCTAAAAACACTCGCGGCGATAGTAAAAACGCCGCAAGAAGCGCCGGCGAAACCAGTGCCGCTAAAGTTAACGGCGTTTGTGAACAAAAAACGCCGCAATAGGTCGAGATCTATAGCGGCGTTTTTAGGACAAACGCCGCAATAGGTCGAGATCTATAGCGGCGTTTTTGGGACAAACGCCGCAATAGGTCGAGATCTATAGCGGCGTTTTTGGGATAAACGCCTCAATAGGTCGAGATCTATAGCGGCGTTTTTGGGACAAACGCCTCAATAGGTCGAGATCTATAGCGGCGTTTTTGGGACAAACGCCGCAATAGGTCGAGATCTATAGCGACATTTTTGGAACAAACGCCACAATATGTCGAGATTTATAGCGGCGTTTTTGGAACAAACGCCACAAAGGTTAGATCTATAGCGGCGTTTTTGATACAAACGCCGCTAATGACCGTTCTTTAGGTAATATTAATTGATTTTGCATATTCCATTTTTGCTATACATCACCTAAATTTAATATCATGTAATCCAATTAACAACAACCATCAATTTTAATTAAGATACAAATTATGCCGAAAAATACTTAACAACAAAATAAATTAAAATTTATAAACACTAAAATTAAATGTAATGTAGTTTGACATTGTTCTCTAGAATTTAATCAAGGTTCTTTCACTTTAAATTAAAAAAAACAGTTTTCCTTGTTTGATGAAGCATCGTTAGGTTTTTCCTCCCTGTAAACTGTATATGGAGAACATCTTCATCCATTTCACTAAATAAATCCCCTAGCTCCGATTCACCAAGAAGACTCCTTGCACGCTTAAATGCTTCACTTGAAACAGATAACGACCTTCCACCTACAATATGTAACTTGATTGGATGTGGCTTGGGAATTGAATCAAACAGTAAACAAAAAAATCAAAGTAAAAAAGAGAAGCGTTTACTTGGAGTAACAGTAGAGGCACCGTCTTCTTCATCGAGGATAGATAATGCTTTTGCAATTGAAGATTCTTTCAACGCCATAGATTTCCCCAATCCGGTTCTAAACACCGGGTATTTATCCACTTCTCTATCATCGTTCTCAATAATCTTTGAACATCCTGCGTACGATCTATAAAATTTGAGAGTACAAAATAAAAAATATAGCGGCGGAAAAATCCAGAGATTATTACCTTGAAGTAGGAGATCGACCATGGAAGGGTATGGAGCAATAGGAGTTCCTTTCGGGTCATCATAGGGTTTCGACGGCAAGAACGGACCGGAATCCTCCCAACGATAATTTGATCCGGCGTCAGAGCAAATACGCCACGTGGACATTCTGACGATTTTGCTTAGGGATTGTGGATTAAATTTTCTAAAGTTTTATCCACAATCAATTTCTCTTACTCTGTCCATACATATGGGTGATCGAGTTTATAAATCTTCTCTTATATACCTCATTGTTTCAGTTAAAGAGCAACACAAAAAATGCGTATTTCAAATGAAGTAAACAAAGGAAATAAAGTAACTAAGAGGTTATATATCCTTAGTTAAGGCTACTTTAACTAATCACTTAAAGTAACAAGTAATATTGATAGTATAAAAAAACAAATTTGATTTTAAGAAACATAAATAGACTAATGATCTCACTTAGACTACAAGTCTTAACATTGCGGAAAACCAAACAAGATGGAGAGATGCAAATAAAATATCCTGTTTTCAAGGAATAATAATTCTGTTTGACAGGAAAAGTGAGTGCAGCGTACCTTGGTACCTGCTAATTGTTCTTTAAAACTGTATGTGAATTGAAAGACCACTTTGCAGGCTGAAATATAAAGAATGCAAAATACAAAATAAAGGGGGATTATTAATAAAATATTGCAAAGAGAAATAATTTCCTTCTATCAATATGTTCAAATTGACCTTCCATTTTATGAAACAACGTAAAACAAGTCTACGAAACTCGAACATACATGCTTAAGTTACATTTCACATCAAGTTGCGAGTATAAATGGTTGATCATAATACATACAGGTGCCAAATAAAGATTCAAACATTGTATGTCATACTCAGGTGAATAGGGACTGTTTGCGATATCCCTCAGAGTTTTGACCAAACCTTCAATACAATTCTGCATTGATGATAAAAGAAGCTATTATCTTTTCACATGTATAGAAAATAATAATATAATATTATCAGGAAGCGAGGAAATCAATATTCAAAAGAAATTCTACTCATTACAGCTTCTTTTCATAGTCACAACTCTTGCTAGGTAGAGAGTTACATTGAACTGAAAAAAATGTTAAAAAAGCCATAACCAATTACCTCTCTAAAATATTCAAGGGCTTCAGAACTGACTTTGCAAAGATCTGTACAAAGTTGAACTCCAGTTACTAGGACTCCATGATGTTTTCTTTAAGTAGTGAAGCAGATACATAAAGTTTTCAGCCAGGTCCGAAACTTTCTTTATGATCCGTATGGAGCACAGTGCTGCCTACAGAGAACAGTTAGTCAAATATTGCAGTCAGAGTGCTAAGAAATTAGAGAACCAAAAACCTAGGTGCATACTGAGAATCCATAAAAAAAGGCCAATTGACAGGAGGGAGAGAGAAAAGAACAGTATGAAACCTGCTTAATCAAACCAATACAACAACAGAAATGTGAGTAATTTTAGATGAACCAATTTAGTACGTTATAAAAATGACTTCACAAAATGGCTGGCACCAAGCAATAAATGTATTTCCCTCAAATCATTAAACAAGAAAGAGTTTAGACTCACGGGTTATCATATGTTGCTTTTTTTCCCTTGAGTGATTACATGCAGTAAAATCTTCTAGATAAGATAAATGGTCAAAAAAATATCCAGATTTCATAAAAGTGCAAGCCATTCAAAGATCGAGGAACATCATTAAATAAAATATCACACATTCATGAATTTGGAAAATAATTACATGTTACAACTCAGGTCTCAGTCATGAGACATGCAGTACATCCATAATGGGTTCACGAGGTGATTTTAACTTTTGTATTGACAAATTAAAAGGCACTATCAATTTCTATAAACAAAACTGAGTGCTCAAAACCCATATAATGCTCCATCAAATTATCAGAATCTAACAACTGATATCCTTTTAAAAAGACGGTGAAAGTTTGGTCAGGATTCAAGAAATGTTCCACAAAAAGCACATCTTATTCGAAGTAATTATGATGAAGTTATTGTAAGCTGTTATAACTAAATTCTGATTTCATTCCAAAAACTGAGTGTTAACTCCTTTATATTTTGAAAGTACCAGTGTTAACTCCTTTATAACTAATGTTAACTGAAGAAATTTTTACCACTAAAAACCACATTATAGAATAACAATAACGTAAAATATGAAGCTGAGACATTAACAAGAGTAAGAGGAACTTGGAATTTTTACTACGGATATATTCGATAAACAAACGATCAATGTCTTAAAGGCTAGCAATAATTCATAATCAGATATCAAAGATGGAATTATATAACACTTGTAGAAAAACCTAAAAATTCACCACGTTTAGCTGAACTTAATAGAAAACGGAATAGAGTGATAGAACAACTCCTTTTGGTCCAAAAGCTGCATTTCTTTATCAATGAAACATTCTAGTGATGCCTAACAGTTAGGAAAACAACATAAAAATTGCATATTTTTATCACGAAAAGGAATAGCATGAGGCACAAGTAAAAAGAGGGCAAACTCGTACCAGAATTCAACATTTGGCTGGCCTTTGTTAAAATGACATTGCAACATGTTTCAAAGCAAGAAAATTATCTCTATATGGTTATCCCTACTTCACGATTAATTGAGAATAGAAATAGGACTTTAACAGCATTGAGAAAGTGATGAGAATTACAATAAAAACATTTGTTCAGAAACCATCCTTAGAAAATATTAAAGCATTTGAAAGCCTACTTATTAATCAAAGATATATCTTTTGGGAAGACAAATCAGAACAGGACATTACATTTCATGGAGCTATACAGTGTGGTCCTCAAGATACCAAAATAATTAACTTTACCAGGTTTTTCAAGAACTAGATAACATAAGACTAAATATATGGATGAAATACGTGAAACCCATAAGAATGGGTCAAAATGAGCAAAACCATAATGGATAAAATTCCTATATGCTCCTATATATAAGCAATCAAAACTATTCAAACTAAAACACCATAACAGGAAAATGGCTGCTTTCATTCCTGCATCATTTAGTTCAATATTCTAAAAAATTAAACCATTACCATAATTGTAAACACTAATGCTATGTTTGGTGACATAAGTACGAATACAAGGAACAATTTAACTATTTCATGAGTTGTTAAAATAGCAGTTTTCAGTAATTACCTCGGAAAAGGCTCATACGGTTCCAAATTCTCAAACAATTTAATAAAGCACGACAATGAAGAAATTGCAAAATAGTATAAAAACCATAAAATATCTTGAATTTAGATTCCAACACACCCTAATAACATTTGGTACGACGGCGGTTGACTAACAGAAGAGTACGACGGCAACGAGATGCTACGTTGATGGTGGATTTTGGGCTATGGTGGTTGTGCGGGGCTAGGGTTTGGAGATTTGGGTGAAATGAGAGCTGAATGAACGAGATGCTACGCTGAAGGTCGAGGCTTGAGTGTTGCGTTCTGGGTAAAGCAGAAGGTAAGAACAAAAGTTCCCAAAACACATCGTTTTGAATGGATCAAGACGACCTTTAGCGGCGTTTTTTAAAAATGCCACTAAAGTACGTGTAATTAGCGGCGTTTGTGTATAAAACGCCACTAAAGAACATGTAATTAGCGGCGTTTTTGCTTAAAACGCCACTAAAGTACGACCTTTAGCGGCGTTTGTATAAAATCGCCACTAAAGTACAGTATTTATCAGCGTTTATATAAAAACGCCACTATAGTGCATGTAATTAGCGGCGTTTGTGCGTAAAACGCCACTAAAGAACATGTAATTAGCGGCGTTTGTGCTTAAAACGCCACTAAAGTACGACCTTTAGCGGCGTTTGTATAAAAATGCCACTAAAGTACATTATTTTCCGGCGTTTTCTCATAAAACGCTGCTACATATGCCGCTAAAACCCCATTTTGCTGTAGTGATGAGAACTACAAAAAGAAATTGATCATTGCATTGCTCGGAAGTCGGAACATAATCTACTCAGTCCACTCGGAAACATAAACTGGGGTCAGCAGCCAAAGCCTCTTTCTTTTTGCAGGGATCTCTTTCATGTCTTCACTGTCATCAAAGTCGATACTAGGTGAATTCCCATCCGAAGTGAAAGGAACCACCAGCACCCCTCTTTTTGCAGGTTAGTTTGATTTTTTTTTATTCGGTTTAGAAATAATTGAGATTTGAGCCTCAAGTGGCTTTTCATCTTTAAGTAGGGTATAAATTAATCGAAGTTTGAGTGAGTAAAATTATATTCATATTTATTTATTTTTGAATATGTTTATATCTGATTTGTGTTTGTATAAATCTTTTATATTGTGTTTGTGTTTATTTGTCTATTTTTAAATGTGTTCATATTTGATTCGTTCATATATTCACGAATAGGTTCGATGATATGATTCAAATCCTCTCAACCACCCATACTATCTTTTCATAAGCTAAAGAAAAATGGTTAAGTTATACCACTAGTCCTTAAGCTCCTTAGACTTTACAGTTTGAACGTCAAAGTTCAATTTGTGTTCAATTTAATCCTTACCATCATTAATACTTAAAAACATAAAAAGATAAAAAAAAATGAAAATCGGATAAATGAGCTTATAAAAAAATCAATAAACAAGATTTTAAATGAGTTTGTTTGTGAACATAAACAAACTGAACACATATTTTTTTGTGTTCATTTATTTATTAAATGAATATAAAATTTTGTACATGCCCGTTTATTTAGTTTAATAAACATATATTAATGTTCTACGAATGATTTACAAATAGTTCATTAAACGTTGTTTACTTGTAAACCTACATTAAAAGTTCCATCGTACAACATAAAACTAAAAATTTGTCAAATTCTTTTGTTAGTCCCTGCACTATGTTTAAGTTATGAAATTAGTCATTATATTCTAATTTGTCATTTCTAATCCCTTTAATTTTTAAAGTTTATAATTTGGGTCCTAACTCAAATGGTACATACAAAATATGTCAAGTTAAATTATACTATTAGCTCATGTAGATGTGTAGGTTTGGAATTTTCTGTCCCCAGTCCCTGTATAGGATAAAACAGGTGGGCTACATGCCGACTTGGGATGTCAATCTAGAGTGGTTGTGGATTGGTCGGAGTGTTCCTAAGTTTGCCAATCGAACATAGTCATAAAAACCAAACAAATTCATTGTCCTGTAAACATTAAACTTAAATCATTTCCTGTCCTGGAATATCAGTTTCTGATTTTTCAAGCTCAACTGAGCTGGGAACACTCGGGCTTGTAGGACCTGGAACAGCATCCTCGAGTTACATGCGCCACAAAAAGGCTCGAACTTCGTCCTATGATGCCTACGAACAAACAACGGGAAAAGTATGATGAATTCAACCCCAAGGCCACTGCATGTGGTCATTCAATTCAACCTTGAATTATTAAGAGACACGGGTTAGGCTGTAAAGGGACTGAATCATTTTCAGTAGATGCTTCTACAATCTCTAAGTAATCTTCGTTGCTATGTTCCAGTCCACCCCGCCAGTGTCTCAAGTCGACACAACCATGTGAAAAAAAAAAACAAGTTCTGACTTACGGGTCACGGTATTGCAGAAGATAAAAAACGATGGGTCCCTTTGTGAAAAGATTTTGCCGTTTTGACAAGGGAAAATGGTAGCCATCCCATGTGTACATATTTTCAGTAACGTTTAGCAGTGATGTCCAAATTATAGGGGGTATGGAAACATGTAGATCATATGGGGAAAGACATGTCTTAAGAGGAACAAGAAACTGATCAGTTGCTGCAGTATAAGGGCATTGAATTCAAAGCGCAGGTTGTCTGTATGTTCTAAATTGTTGATGGTCTGAGTACGAAGACGGTGGTTTTAGCTGGTTTACCATCTTTAAATTGAGTGAATAGTAACAGTCAATAATTGTAGAGAAGACGGTTAATAGTGGAGGTGTAAGTTTAAATATATTTATATCGAACTCGTACTTATATCCGACAATCACTGCACGTAACATAGAATCCTATCACAACGAAAAATTTATGAGTGCAATTCCAGTTTTTGCAGGCTTGACTACTGATTTCCGGTGGTGTTGGAAATGTCATCGAACTATCTGTAAAGGGCAGAGTCAGAGCTGGGAAAGCAGCAACGTTCATGTGTTTTAACTTCCCAAATACGGGTGCTGCTCTATGGATGGCATTGTCCAGTTGTGGAATATGCTTTACAGAATATATGTAACTGTAAATTTGGCAGCTTTGAGGCCCTCAGCACATGTGCGATGCATCTGAGACACAGAGTTTGAAGCCCTTGGCTTATTGGATTCATAAGTTGGTCAATGAAAAAGATAGTAATACTTTGACTCGTATTAAAAGTTTGTGATCTAAATTTCATTTGGTTCGATTCGAAAAATTCGTAAAGTGACTCTTTTGATGAATAAGAATGAGTATTTTACAGTATTTTAATGTTTTTCGGAGAGGGCTGACCATCCTCAGTTTACAAAATGCCCTAAGGAATCAAAATTTGGGCCTTTGGAGAGGGCTCCTGTCAGCCTGTGCTACCTGTTTTTGTTTTGGGTATTTTACAGTATTTTCATGTTTTTCACTCTCTTTTTTTCCCACTGAGAATTGAGAATTTACAACTGTGAAATGCATCTTCTCTGGCAAGCAATGGCAATCTTTTTGTGCTGTTTAGTTTCATCGTTCCATAGCTTGCCGATATCTTGTGCAATCCTCATGGCATCAGAGGCAGCACCAGAGAGCCCTCTCCTCGTGAACCCAACTGCATATAGTCCACCATTGCCTTTCCAACCATGCGGTAAAGGAGCCTTTGGGAACCCATTCTTGCAAAAGAAGTCACCTTCCTTGAGCCAAGAAGGAACATTGCTGCGGTATCCGGTAGCCAAAATGACCGCGTCGATGTCGAGCTTCTCGCCGTTAACGAGCTCGACTTGTTTGTACGAGAAACACTTGATTCCCGGAACATCATTGATGTCACCTGATTTGATTTTCTCCAAAGCGCCAATGTCCAATACAGGGGTTTTCCCTTTAGTGTTCTTGAGTTCCAATGGTCCCATTGATGGCCTTTTCAGCCCATATTTCTCAATGTTTCCAAGCACCAACCAAGCCAAGATCAACATCAGCTTGTCAACGAGCCAAAGGGGTAGCCATTTCATCATCAAAACAGCTATTTCGAATGTCGAGTTCCCGAAAACTTCTCTAGGCAAGACGTGAACCTGGTACAAACAAAAACAGAACAATCAAAATTTAATCTCCATTGTCATGTCATATTATGGTTCGGTAATGTTTTAAATTTTAAATGACTTACCGAGCTGCGAACCACCATTGATGGTGAAGCATTGTGATTGCAAAGATCAAGAGAAAGTTCCATGCCAGAGTTGCCACATCCAACAAGTACTTTCTGTCCCTGGAATTTTTCCCCAGACTTGTACTCACAAGCATGGATAACCTCACCACCAAACTTGGCCAATCCTTCGATATTCGGCACGATGCACTCGGCATTTTCGCCCGTGGCCACCACAAGCCAGCGGCAAATGTACTCGAACTCAACCTCGTTCGAGACGGTCTTGACCCTCCAGAAACCACTGGTTTCATCATAACTAGCTGACTCCACGCACTCGTTGAACTTTGGGTTGATATCAAAATGCTTAGCGTATGACTCAAGGTACTCAATGAACTGTTTCTTTGTAGGGTACTCAGGGAAATCCTCAGGGAAAGGTAATCTCGGAAGTTGACAGAATTTCTTGGGAAGATGAAGCTTGAGCCTGTCGTAGGTGCGTTTCTGCCACAAAGAGGCTATGCATTCGGCTCGTTCAAGCACAACAAAGGGTACCCCTTCCTCTCGTAGGCAAGCAGCAGTGGCTAGCCCCGAAGGACCAGCACCAACTATGACCGGACCGTTCACCAAAGTCCATTTACATTGAGACAAATCTTGGTCCTGGTCAAGAAGATGAAACAGGCTCCGATCCATCGTTGAAAAACACTTTGTTTAGGCTTAAAAGGGTGTTTGTTTTTGAATTTTTATGAACACAAAATGGAGTTGAAAAGAAATATGCTGGTTGAGAAGAGAACTGGATGTTCCTGGTTTGGGAGGAGGAGGGCTTTAAATAGGCATGAAATGGTGTGAAAGGTCCATGTCATCACAATATTCAAATCATAAGCCTACGGCTAACCTCTGTTATTTTATGAAGTATTGTAATAGTACCTCATATACCATGCTTGTAAATTCAACATTTTAGGGATTTCTCTTTATTCTTCTCTTTAGAAAATTGTTGTTTATCATATAATGAATCATGTGTTTAATGAGAGCAATTACCTTTATTTTTTAAGTAATAAAAATTATTAGTTTTATTAAAATAAATAAAGGAGAAATACAACAAAATTATGACTTAAATAAAAGTTTGTAAAAAATTAAAAACCAACTTATAAGCTAAATTCAAGAATAAATTAGTAAGATAATCAAATAAATGTTAAAATAGAAAGGTGACATGGAATCTAAACCAAGAAGAAAAGAGGAAAAAACATCTTACAAAAACAAATAAAGGAATTATTGTTGTTCCTAAAGGTGACGGGTTCAAGCATCGGTGGCTGCAGCAAGGTGATTGAGCATTCATTCTCATATTCCACATTATAATCACCTTAGCTTAATAAAAAAACATAATAACAATTAGGATAAATTACACGTTTAGCACTTAAACTATCCGTTTTAGGATCTAAACTTTTAATTTTTTTCAAAGTTAAAAAGGGATGAGTGACAATCATTTGATGAAAGATTAACCATATAACCTTCTTGACAAATAAAATAAATAGAAAAAGAACAACTCAAAATTAATTTTGTTTAATTGTTTGGATTATTGAGAAGGTAGGGTTTGAATGATTTTGATTGTAGATTTCATGGCAATCTTGAGATTCCGTATTATCATTGCTTATCAATTATTGTAATATTACAAACTCAATAGTTAAGAGTTTTTTTTATTGAATTATTATATATCAAACAAGAAAAATGAGTGCATGAATAATTAGTTGAATTAACTAAGTATTTGTGGAGAATTTGACTGTTATATTTTAATTGTTGTTTGTTGAAATATTATTATCAGTGGCATATTAGGATTGCATTATGTGATATTTGAAATTTAAAAGAAATTAAAATAATATTAAAATATTTAAAGAAAAATTTAAAAATAATAAAATTTTAAAAATATCGTGTGAAAACATCATAGTGTGACATTTGTGTTGGAATTAAATTAAATAAGTTTTTTCTTCTTCTTATCTTGAGTTTAATTTCGTCCAGCTGTAAACCGTTGGACTTAATCAATTTCAACTATAATCAGTTGAGATGTTAGAAGTTTATTACTTTGTACATAGCCTTCTTTAGATAAATTGATAAAAAAAATAATGGTTTTTTAAAGATAAATTGATCAAAAATATAAAATTTAAGAAAATATATTTCTAGTAAAAGAATATTGAAACTTAATGCTATTTTAAGTTTAAAATCTTATGGCACATGCACGAATTAACTTATCTAAGTGGTTAAAGGAATTATTGTTGTTTCTAGAGGTTATGAGTTCAAACACGAGCAACTGCAGCAAGGTGATTGAACATTTATTATCTAATGGTTGAAAGTATAAAGAACAAATATTATTTTATAATCACCTTAGCTTAATAAAAAAAATTATGACACCCTTAAATCTTTAATTTTATATTATTTTTGTAACACCCTTAATCTATATATGTACTCGTATACGAGTTAAAGATGTCACATCAGTCATACGTAACATTCACTATTTGAAAAATCAATAAAAATTTATTTCTTTAAAATTTTAAAAAGCATTTCTTTATTTTACAACTAATAATCACACAAAATCATGATTTAATATTTAATGTCAAAATTTAAATTCAATTCAGATAATATTTTAGGCAGTTCTATACCGTAACATATCTTAAATCAAAACTGTCAGAAAACTGTCTGATTTGAAAATCATTTCTATCATAAATAATTACAATTTAATAAACTAATATTCATAATTAGTAATGTCTTTTGAAAAACTAAACCTTTATAATTTAAACAAAAAAAAATCTTAAACATACTCGAATTAGAGTAGCTAGAAACTTCTTTAATATACATGTCATTACCATATAAATTAAAAGACATGATGTCCTTACTTACTGATTTTAGTGGCATAATTGATTCATAAAAAATGATGTTGATGCACTCCCTACTTTTTCCTTATAGTTTGTACCTACGTATAAAACACTCACATACTAAGTTTTCACTTAGTGAGGCAACCAAGTAAAATAAAATAAATAAAATATTTAACGTATAAAACAGATAATATCATATAAAAACATTAATAAAATAAAATATGTATAAAATCATATGTTAACTTGTAATAAGAATTTATTATAGAAATTGTAATTCAGACCGTACTGTACCATTTTAGACATGTACTTTTCTATTTCAGTTCATATCATTGAAAAATTATACTTTTCTTTTCGAAATCAGATCATTTCAAATCCATACTTTTCTTATCCATATCATACATTTCCCCATTGTGTTATCATGAGAAATAAATGGTACGTCAATCATATAACGAGTGAGGGTGCCATATGTAGTTGAAACTGCCATAACAGATTGCACCGAGTCACTTCACCTTGTGCACAACTAAGATACGCCGAGTCATATCACGAGTGACTCATCTATGGTGTCATAACATATAATGCACATATATTGCCAGATAGATCGCACCAGATCAATCCACCTCGTGCACCCTAGGGTACACGAGTCAGACCGCAAGTGATCCATTTTGGTGTCAGATCCGAAACGGATACAATTCACTCCACCTCATGGCATGTCATGGTACCACTAACCATCATTCTTATACAATGGGCTTAATAAAAATCATATACAATTTGCATATTAAAACAATTCATTCATATAATCCAATATAAAACAATTCTTATAAAATCATATATGAACAGTTCATACCCAAAAACATTCACATGCTAGGAAATAAACCACCGAATAAAATAATTTGGATTATTCAAATCCAAAATCATATAAAAACCATTTAGTAAATAAGTATAAAGATATTTCATAAAATAATTCAAATTGTTTTCAATTGAAAACCTTCGAGATTGGCTCATTGCAAGTCGTCCTCATATCAAATATAAAATAAGTAAGTTGCACTCACCAGTTGCCTCACTATGCTTTAAATGATATGTTCGTTGAACTCTCGAACTTAATCATTTTCCTTTCGTTCGCTTTTTATTTGTTTTCGATCACGATCTACCCAACATCGATTCCATAAACAATTTCGAATACGAATTAATACTTCAACTAATATAATAATTATGTATATTCAAACAACTTCCTAAAAAATCAAGCAATATATATATATATATATATATATATTCGAAACTATTTTCTCTCCCAATTTAAATCAACTTTATTTCGTCTAATATTCCCTTCACTATCGACTTTATCCTTATATTTTAGTTTGCTATAAGCTTGATTGCGATCATGATCTTCAAGAACGTCGATTACCCCAACATATAAAATTCCAACCAAATGGGAGTAACATAAAACTTAGTTTTAGGCACTCAATCAATGACTAACAGTAATATTATACTAAGAGAAAAAGACGAATGCAAGCTTGCGTGAGATTATAAAATTCTAATAATGCTTAAGCATAAACATATGATTTTATCAAACTTGCGATGCATAACATAGAATTGGGATGCTTCCCAGTAAGCAATATCCCAACCTCAAAGATTGTCGTTTATCACAATTATCAGCTTAACTTTTTTAATACTTGCAAAATCACCACTAATTAGTTTTCAAGATCTTTCAAATTGATTCTCAATCTTACATCACTTTTTAATTTAACCCCAATTTCATATTCTAACAAAAAGTTTAGCATTGTACCTTAACTTTCCAAAGCTTATTTATTAATCCTTTAAATTTTTTAAATTTTGTAAAATGTCCCTAACAACTTAACCAATATCTTGTTTATCCAAATCATCGTTTCAAGCACACCAAATCATTCTTACCTTCACTCAAAACCAATAGAAAATTTTTACAATTTTTCCCTTAATTTTCTCCCTGGTCTCAATTTTGATTCAATCACAATTTAGTCATCTACACATCATTTTCAATCAATTACGATCAAATTCAAATCAAAGCAAATCAAATTAAATCAATTTCCTAACAACTTCAGCAACGGTCGAAAGTTTCATCTTGCTCCTTTGATGGTCTTTAATTAATCTTCATGTTTGATTTCAATTCTACAACACTACCAACATCCATTTCTAACTTTAGTTCAATGAATTCAAGTCTTCCCTTCATCCACTTAATTCACCCATTTCCACCATTCAAGCATAAAACAAAGAAATAAGTACACTAATTTGTAGAGAATTTAATGGGGATTATTTTCTTATTTTACACTTCAGCCCAAAATCTTACTAAATTGGACCAAAAATGAAAAACAAAAACCAAACTTACCTTGGCTATCGTGACTGACGACATCTTACCAGAGAAGAGGAGCAATTCTCTTGAAAATTCTAAGCAAAATATATCTTAATTTACCTTTTAAAATCAATTAAAATGATTTTTTTTATTCATTTTGGGCCAAAATCTTAAATTACCATTAATAAATTCCCAAAATTACACCCATGTCGCTCATTCATCTCCATTAATGTTATTAAATAACCATAAAAATATGATCTCTAAGTTTTTCTTTTTGACCCTTCAATTTTCTAAAATTTCAATTTAGTCATTAAATTGTACTATTCCACTTTATAGTGCAAATTTTCACCAAATTCCACCAATCCAACTTAAATTTCACTAATTAAAAATATCCATATAATTTTTTCAACTCAAATTTTTGTAAGCTTCTGATTCTATCCGGTTATTCGAATAATATAGCAAATTTTATCATTTAATAGACTTTTATGCAAACTCCAGGTCAAAAATTTGAAACCCACTAAAATATTGTCTTGGGCTGAACTACTTATTTACAAACCCAAAACGTAACTTTTAAAAATTTTATTTTTAGTCACATAACTTTTACA